GGAGGGGATATCGGTACGGACAGATCAGTTCATATGAACTGTCGTGTGGTTAGTAGATTTTGTCTATATCAGATGTCTCGTAAAAAAAAAAGTGCGCGGTAAGGAGAATTAGGTCAAGGAAACGCGGGATAAGTGACCTCGAAAGTAGATGGATGGACATGTAAATCAGTAGAGAACAGAGGAGGATAAGAGGGACGAAAGAAAGATCAAACGCAAGGCAATTTCCCAGCCCATCATATCAAAAAAAAAAAAAAAAGAGAACGCTCGTATGGGCCTTAGCACAGGTGATGAAATCCGTAGACAGCAAATGAAAAGAAAGAGAACCAAGTATTAATGGGTAAACCATTGTCTTACATGAAGGGGAAAGCAGGAGAGGAAAAGAAACACCGGAGAGAAGCGAGGTGAAGAAATCAGAAGGAAAAAAAATAAGTAAAAAGGACGATAGCCGCATGCGCCGTATTTTGTGGTTGCCTGGCGCTGTTCTGCTGCATGACCAAATTTACTCTGCTTTTTTTTTCTCTCTCTTTCTTTTTCTTTCAGTAAGGAAAATGTATTATTTGTATATCTCTTCCTCGAGAGTCTGGCTTCTTCAGGACCGTCGGCGGAAGAGTGACGACAATGGCATGCCTGGTATCATATCAAGTTGGTTGGTATTGCCTATAAAATAACAAATCTGCAAAGATAAATTCTTTTTTGTTGAAAATGGGTAGGGTATAAACTGGGCGGTAAGGAGAAGCCGACTATAAGATCAAAAAAGTTCGTTGATAGGGCAGGCGAACGAACTCAGGCCCAATCGAACATTAACTTTGTTTTGATTGGTTGTAAAGGATGCAAAGTCGGCAGGAGGCAGATATGTAAATCGATATTGTCGAGGCGTGGTCGGGCGGAGGAGGGAGGTTGTAGCCAAGTATATCATCCATGTCAGTTGTCGTCAGTTTAACCCTCATAATATCAGGTTGTTCAAGTTTTTCTGTATGATCATATCCTGCACTGAGTCCATGGTCGCCTTTAGCAGGGTGGTGTCTGTTGCGTTGGTGTAGTGGGTGTATATCTCGCGTTCAGGCACGCGGGTGATGCCTCTGAATCGATCAGCAAAGTATTTGGCAGCGGCCTCAAAGTCGCCGTCTCGTCCGCTGTAGTCGGGGAAGTGCTTGGACACAGGGGAGATGGCTAGCTTCTCCTTGAAGAGGTCGATCTTATTGAGGAATAGGATGACGGGTTTGCGTTTGAACCATTCACCGTTTACGAGAGATTCAAAAAGCATCATTGCTTCGTGCATTTGGTTCTGGGAGGGTTAGTCTATCCTTGTGAATTGTGTTGGAATTGTTTGGATAAACAACACTTACTGCAGTCTGATCCTCTACAAGGCACTGGTCGTAGCCGGAGAGGGCCACCATGAATAAGAGACACTGTACGCCCTCGAAGCAGTGGATCCATTTCTTCCGCTCTGATCGTTGGCCTCCGACATCCATCATCCGGAAATTTATCTGTCCTAGCTCGAAAAGTGACTCGGTGATACCCGTCGTCCGTAGTCGTGAGTGAAGCATATCCTGATTATTGGGGAGCCAGCCAGGTGCGAATATACGGTCTAGTGAATGGAAATAGCTGTTTACGTGTTAGCATACATAAAAGAGCGCAGCCCTTATTCTAGTATGTAGGCTTACTAGTGGAGATTATCATGTAGGGCGAATTCATGGCCTCTGGCGACTGCCTTTTGGACACCGGCGTCTTCCCACATCGACTTGACAGCTTCCCGCACTTTGATGTCGGTGAAGGCCTCATCACACTCGACGTCCGCTTCGCTGGTTTGGATGAAATGGGCGAGTGGCTAGTGACGCGATGTGCGGGTTAGTTAAAAAAATGCGAACAAAGGCTAGTGTTTTTGGCGAGGGGAGAAGCATTGTTCATCATCGTACCTCCGTAGCCTCATGCTCGAAACTTATGTTCTCCGCCTCCATGATCTCGATAAGCAGCTTGAAGGCGACTATCATGTTCGAATAGATGACCGCTCTGGTCTGCCGGCGTTCGTCTATCGGAAATCCACCTGAGTGGATGATGCGCATCTGCTTGATGATTGTGGACTTGCCAGATTCACCAGCACCTTGCGGGGGAGAAAGAAGAAAGACATCAGCAACCGGGTAACAACAGGACAAAGGGCTGGGAAAGGGAAAAAAGACGGATGAAATGCCCGGACATACCGAGTAGCAGTATCTTGACTGTTCTATCATATTTCTTCTTGTCTGCCCGGATGACCTTGTCTATGGCGGCGCTGTGCTTCCCTTGCTCTCTCATCTCCGGAGTGATATCTTTCGAGTTCATGCAACCCATGGTGCCGGACGACGTAGCGGCCCTCTCTACAGCAGCGGCAGAAGCAGTCAGCAACGCGCAAAATTCTCTCGCCTTTGGAAAGCAATATCCGGCACGGTCAAGAGCATACCAAATCAGTGGTTGCAAGTATGAGATTCCCAACTTCAGTCTTCGGGTCCCAAGCTGGGCTGATTCCGGCTCGTAGCACAGAACACACAACCAAGATCCGAGTCTCAGCAGCATCAATCGAGCCTGGTCAGCGTATGATAATGTTTTCCCCCTCCTTTCTTTCTCTTCTTGCTGTAAGTCGTCAGTGGGCGGGAGGAATCGTGGACGAGGCGAGGAAAAGGCTATACGAGGCAAAGCGCAGTAAGGTATTATCGACAAGCAGCCTCGTCTTCGAGAGAGAAGTGACAGCAGGCGGAGGGCCCCGAAGAAGGATATATATGTATAGAATATATTATTATAAGTGTAAATAAATAGAGTGACAGTGCTCGGGGCTGGGAAGTGGTGGTCGCCGTTGGCTTCAAGGGTTTGCGAAATGCGATGCGATGGATTATGGGCCGGCCGGACAAGCCCCAGGGATGTGTAAGAGAGGCAAAAAAGAAAGAAAAGGAAGACGAGAAAAAAGAAAGAAAAGATGCGGAGAAGGTTTGGACCCGTTCAG